TATTATGGTGTTTTTGAGGTTCATCCATGTTGTTTTGTGTATCACTACTTCATTCTTTTTTAGAGCTTACTAATCTTCCATTGTATGGATATGCACATTTTATTATCCATCAGTTGATGGACATTTGTGTTGCTTCCACTTTTTGGCTATTATGAATAATGCTGCTATGAACATTCATATACAACTTTTTCTGAGGATGTATGTCTTCATTTCTCTTGCTGAGTCTTAGGTAACTGTGTTTAATTTTTTGAGGAAACACCAAGCTGTTTTCCATTATCATCACACAACTTTACATTCCCACCAGTTGTGTATGAGGGTTCTGGTTTCTTCACTTTCTTGACAACACTCGTTACTGCCTTTTTTATTCTAGCCATCCTAGGGGGTGTGAAATGGTATCTCATTGTAGTTTTGATTTGCATTTCCCTACTGACCAATGATGTTGACCATTTTTGCCTATTTTTAAACTGGGTTGCTTTGTTCTTGATGTGCTGTAAGAAAGAATTCTTTATATATTCTGGATACAAATCTCTTATCAGGTTTATGGTTTGCAAATATTTTCTCCCATTCTGTGGGTTGTCTTTGCACATTCTTGATAGTGTCCTTTGAAGCACAAAGCCTTTAATTTTGAAGTTCACTTTATTTTTTCTTTTGTTGCTTGGGTTTTTTGTCACCGAGTTATTTTTAATATAATCTGAGTGAGTTGCAGAAAAATAGAAGGAGCGAGTATGGGAGAATATATTCATAAATGACAGATCTGATAAAGGGCTGACATCTAAAATATATAAAGAGCTCATGCACCTCAACAAACGAAAAGCAAATAATTCAATTAAAAAATGGGCAGAGGAACTGAATAGACAGTTCTCTAAAGAAGAAATTCAGATGGTGAACAGACACATGAAAAGATGCTCCACATCACTTGTCATCAGAGAAATGCAAATTAAAACCACAATGAGATATCACCTCACACCAGTAAGGATGGCCACCATCCAAAAGACAAACAACAACAAATGTTGGTGAGGCTGTGGAGAAAGGGGAACCCTCCTACACTGTTGGTGGGAATGTAAATTAGTTCAACCATTGTGGAAAGCAGTATGGAGGTTCCTCAAAAAGCTCAAAATAGAAATACCATTTGACCCAGGAATTCCACTCCTGGGAATTTACGCTAAGAATGCAGCACTCCAGTTTGAAAAAGACAGATGCACTCCTATGTTTATCGCTGCACTATTTACAATAGCCAAGATATGGAAGCAACCTAAATGTCCATCAGTAGATGAATGGATAAAGAAGATGTGGTACATATACACAATGGAATATTACTCAGCCATAAGAAAAAAACAGATCCTACCATTTGCAACAACATGGATGGAGCTAGAGGGTATTATGCTCAGTGAAATAAGCCAGGCGGAGAAAGACAAGTACCAAATGATTTCACTCATATGTGGAGTATAAGAACAAAGGAAAACTGAAGGAACAAAACAGCAGCAGAATCACAGAACCCAAGAATTGACTAACAGTTACCAAAGGGAAAGGGACTGGGGAGGATGGGTGGGAAGGGAGGGATAAGGGTGGGGGAAAAAGAAAGAGGGCATTACGATTAGCATGTAAAATGTGGGGGGCATGGGGAGGGCTGGGCAACAGAGAGAAGACAAGTAGTGATTTTTACAGCATCTTGCTACGCTGATGGACAGTGACTGTGAAGGGGTATGTGGGGGTTCTTGGTGAAGGGGGGAGCCTAGTGAACATAATGTCTTTCATGTAATTGTAGATTAATGATACCAAAATAAAAAAATAAAATAAAAATAAAAAAAAAGAAAAATAGAAGAAGCAATTGTTCTTGAGGTCTGGTGGATAACAGTATTGGAAGAAATTTTAAAAGAAAAGGATTTCCATTTATTTTAATTGAAGCATTCAGTCAAGCTAGGTTTTCAGTGAAAATGAAGGTTTAAAAAATACTTTTGATATTAAAAAAATGTGACTTCACAGCCAAAGCAGAACTTTGAAGATTGAACTTGGTAGTAATTATACTGGATTTTCTTGCAGACTCTCACATAAGCCTGTAAGCTTTCCCAGGATGTATACTATTTGGGTTGATGATGGCACAGTGTTTTTCTACAGTCCCATGTCTCCTCAAGGCATGCAGAGCATCTCCCAATAGGCAGGTCATTTCCTTTTGCCCCACTGTGAACATTTTTGCCAATTTTCTTTTTCTTTTTTTTTTTTTTAAGAGAAGATGGTTTTAGAATAGTATGGGGATGTATTTTTTTGTTATAGTTTAAGAAATGGACAATGTGGGGAAAAGAATGGCATTTTTATAATGGTGTAACACTTTTACATGTAACTGAATCATTTTAGAGAGCATAATGCATTTTTATGAGACATAGTAGGCGTACTGATTTCAGTATTGCCTCTACCTGTGTGTGCAGGGGGTGTTAGGAAGGGGCCCCAGTGGGAGTGAGGTCTGGCTGCATCTACGCAGGTGAGCAGGAGCTAGCCCCAGGTAGCAAGAGAGGTGGTTCAGAGTGAGGGAGGTGAAGCATGAAGCCAGGCATGAATAACTTACTGCGGCATCGGGTACGAGGCACAAAAGCCACACTTTTAAATTCCAAAGCCAGCTGACACGTACGAGGTTGAGGGGCATCTCAGGACATCCATGAAGCTCTTCCCAGGACCTTGCTCCTCCCCACCGCAGCAAGGTACCTTTCCGGACTTCACATCTGATCAGGTTGCCGGCTGCTGAAGCTGTTGCAACGTTCCCATCATTCCGCGGGTATTGGCAGAAACCCGCCCCTGGTTCTGAGGTCCCTCCTGCTCCAGGGCGTCTCCCTCCAGTCTACCCCGTAGCACTGCCCTCTCTTTCCGGGCCCTAGGGCTCCAGCCTACCTTGGGCTCCCCCCCGTACCGGGCAAGGCTGCCTGGGCCCGGGCCAGCCCCGCTTTCTGGTTCTGGCTCGCTCTCCTCACAGTTTCCTCCTGCTGCTGCCGAGCTTAGCCTGTGGTCAAACCCACCGGCTCTGGGGCAAATCCCCCTACAGCAGAATCAGACCTTGGTGAGGCTGTGTTCTCAGGACAGCATGCAGCTCACGTGATTGCTGAGACAGTGCTTCGGAACAGCCCACACTGGAAACTGGCATATAGTCTCTCACTCACACACTTGAACACAGCCCAGTTTCCCTCTGGTGTCGGAAGTTACCTACCGCTTTTCTTCAGCCAAGCGGTAGGTGGAGCAGCTGGCTGTGTGATAGGATTGCATTGTAGCACTGTATGAAAATCAAGTCGTCGTAGTGCCCCCCACCCCCATGGCTGGAAGTACACGTAGCTCCTAGGTAGTCGTGAGGTGCTCCTGCGTGGGGCCTAGGTCTGACCGAGGGAGAAGCACGTTTGCGCACTGTATCCCTCACCCTGGAGATGCTGGGCGGAATCCCCTGCACTATTTAAATTATTCCTTGGTTTTCGGTTGAGTGTGAGTAGTTGCCCTCTATACCAAGGACCTGTCATTTGTAGGACTTACTACAACTGTAACAAATGTGGCTTTGTGTGTGTGGATTGTCACCTCCCCTAACTGCAAGACCCCAAGACAGGATCCGGGTGGGGTGCGGCTCCCACCCTCAATATCTGGCACACAGGAGGCACTCCCTAAGTGCTTGTTAAAAAGTGCTTTCCCACCTGCCCCACGGAACCCGAGGCTCTCGGAACCCGAGGCTCTCGGGGAGATTCTGCAGAATTCTGCAAACATTTGATTCACATTTCAAAGGCAGCTGAGCCTGGTGGGTTAAGTGCTGGGCTTTGGAGTAGTCAGTGGGCTGCATTCCCGNTGAGTCAGCGCTCTCATCTAGTACAGGGGTAAGGAGACACTTGCGGGGAGTGCATGCGGTGGAGCCGGGGAAATGGCTTACAAGGCTCAGTGTTAGCTGTTGTTATTACTACTTTATAGTTAACCCCAAATGTCAAAATTTTAAAGAGGCTTTGAAATTTTTTTTCATTGACTGACTGTAAATTCAGGACTGCTATATGTAAATTCCACAAGAAAGCTCTGTGCTTTAAAAGGTGGGGGGACTGAAACCTTTGGTTTAGACTAAAGGCGGAGGACTTGAGCATAGCTCTGCACAGTCGCCACCAGGAAACCTTCAGGGTGAATCTGATGTCTGGGCCTTGGGTCCTCTGGCTCTCTAATGTCTGCCTGTGTAATCTTCTCCTGTGTTCTGCCCATGACTCTTACTGAAATTGACTTAAGAAATGGTTATAAAGGAAACCTTTTTTAAAACTGCCAGTGAGGACTTCTTCAGGTATACATTCCACAGAAACTTCCTGCACTCCTGTGAGGAGCTTGGCTCTCTGGTGAGCTGCTTTCCCCTGTCATCCATGTGCAAGTGAATCTTCCCAAAGGCCCTAGGAGGTAGATGCTGTTGTGGCTGTTGTCCCCGTGAGCCTCAGGACGTCAGGCAGCTTGCCCTGGGTCTCGCTCTTGGCCACGGGCCCCGGAAACCAGTTCTCCTCTCTGACAGTGGTCTGCTCTTCCGCCACAAGGAAGCTTCCACCTCTGTCTTAGCTGCCCAGAAGCCCCACGCCGCTCCGCGGCAGCCCGACTCCACCTATGCCACACTGGCGCCTCTCCGTTGTGTGGCCCTTCTTAGTTAGCTTTACCTATTCTTGGGAGTATATTCTAAGCCACTCGAAATTTGGACAGATTTTGAAAAATGAAATAATTTTGTATTTCATATTAACAAAAGTTCACAGCTGAGTGTGAAACTCAGAAAAGGGTGGGCAGGTGAACAACTACTTGAAAAAACAATGACTAAAGTGTAGTATTTGAGTCTACGCCTTCTTTTTGGCTGAGAAAGGTCCTGGACAGCTTTCAGGTGTGATTTTCCTTTTAAATTAAGAATCTAGCTGCTAATAGAAATCAGATATTTCACATTTTAATTCTTGTTTTTACTCTTAAAATTATGAAAACAAGTTGAATGTACATTGCTAAAGTGAGCTTTCTAATTTTTTTCTGTGCAGGTAATGATGGCTGAACTGAACAATTAAGGTAACATTTATGACCTATGTAATATGTTTTCTTAAATTTCTCTATAGAATTTTGCTGAATTGCTAAAGTCATGTTTTGACCTTGGTGAAGGTTATTGCCTTTAGGTAGTTATTCCAAACTGGAGTGGAGTATAAAAGAATTCATATTACATTTTAAGGTAAATTCTGAAAATAACATGCCAGGATACCTTTATTCATTTTGCTATACTAAAGAAGTTCCAAAGAACTGTACTGTTTATAGAGAGGAAAAGGGAACATTTTTAATGTCCATGTGCCAATGATGGTTATGTTAGTGTATAAATTGCATGAAGTAGCTTTTGTTAGAGTCAGTGGGAAGTTAGACGGTTTGTATAATATGTCGCTGTGCATGTTCATATACAGTTCTTCAGTTAGAATAAGAGAGATGCCTGGGTATATTTCAATTGTTTTAGCAAATGCCAGCGTATTCCCAGTTTGCTTATCTGGCAGGCCCCAAATTACAGATGGGAAATGTAAAAAATTGTACTCTTTTTGTTTCCTGGTGTGTGGGTCTAGCATACCCCAAATTTGTTGGCTCAGAATAATGGCACAAACTAGGAAATCCCACATTATATGGAAAAAGAAAAGAACTATCAAAGTATCCTGATAAAATTGTAAATGACAAATCTCAAAGAATTTCTGACTTAATTTGGTAGATGTATGCAACCAGTCATCTGGGTGGAGGTTGTTAGATTACATAATCTGGTTTATAATTTGATGTAAAGATCTTAACAGTTCAATGTTGTACAATTAAACTTTATGTCTGGTAAGACAGAGACTTGTTAAAATACTGGGATAAATGATAGACTAGAATTGCAGACCTCTGTTACACCCTCATAACAGCAAGAAACTTCTGTGTTCACTAATCTCAAAAATTGTGTGAAGAAACAACCTTGGGATGGAGGCTGCAGGGGCAGGTTCCCAGTGTTGGTGCTGACCATGCCCACCCAGCAGTTCTGAGGGCCCAGCAGTTAGGTAGGTGAATGTGGTGCGGTCACCAGTAGAGGGAGCAGCATGTGCTAAGCCAGTGGAATTGAATTTCCGTTCCCTCTGACTTCATTTAGAATGACTGAAGCCAAGAACAGGGAGCAGGGCCAGGTGTCCTGCCTTAGAAGCTGGACTTAGACCTGACTCCGGAGAACTACCGAAGGGTGTGAAGGAGGGGCCATTAGACAGGTGCTTTCCTGATGGCAGAATATTTGGTGTGCTTTTTTGGTTTTGTTACTCTTTTTTCTATACATTGAAGTTATTTAAGGAAGATTGTATAGAATTAAATGAAGGAACCGGTTTAGCACTTTGTTGCCTATGTCAGGAAATTTAAGGGGCTTGCAGTTGTTCTAATTTCCTCTGTGACGTTCATTTAGTCTGGGCATGACTGAGTGATCCTTTGTAAGTCAAGAGTCTCCCAAGAGGTATGCACCTCAGTTACTTCAGTTTTGTTGACCTATTTAAATTGTATTAATTATTAGTTATTACTGTAGTAATAACTTTAAAAAAGCCAGTAAAAGTTAGGGATAAGTTGCTATAGGTTTTACTAGGATAGTGGAGCATGTAGCTGGAAATGCAGATTCTTGCACATTATAGGAAGTGTTCAATTATATTATACTGTGTCACGCTTGCATATAGCCAGATGTTTACTGCATTACATTATGCTGTTATGTTTGCATATAACTAGAAGATAGCCAGATGTTCACTGCAGTGATTTTTGCAAATGCATTCTAGTCAGCAATTATTGTTAATGTCTTTATTACCTTCCCATTGAGGGAGTCACACTATCTACTTTTATGTTAAACTTAATTGTCATTTTTGCACTGGAGCTGTGCTGTCCAGTACAGCTGTTGGCTCTTTAAATGTGGCTATTCATATTAATGAAAATTAAATAAAGATAAAAATTCTGTTCCTCACTCCCTTCAGCCATATCAAGTGCTAACAGCTAGTGGCCGGCATATCGATGAAGGACATCAGTGTTGTTGCAGAAAGTTCTGTTAGGTTATTTGCTTTCACAAATTTTAATATACTTAAAAGCTATTTGGTGCTGAAATATTTAAAGATTAAATGATATAATCTGATTCACAATAACTCAGGAGAAGGGAGAATGGGCAGTTAGAGAGGATTTGTCCCAAGTTGATAGATAATTGGTGAAGCTAGGTTTAGGGCCTGTATGGTTTCATTACATTATGCTCATTATTCAGAAATGTGTATGTTTGAAATTTTATGTTAACAAAGAATGAAAGTGGAAATGCTAAATAGAAAAACGCTCTCACCAGCACTTAGAAGTAGCCATCTCTAAGTGGGCATCTGAGATCCTGCCCTGCGCTGGCTGGCCCTGTAGTAAAGCCTAAAGGGTACACATAGTACCATTTTTTTTTGGTATCATTAATCTACAATTACATGAGGAACATTATGTTTACTAGACTCCCCCCATCACCAAGTCCCCCCCACATACCCCATTGCAGTCACTGTCCATCAGCGTAGTAAGATGCTGTAGAATCACTACCTGTCCTCTCCGTGCTGTACAGCCCTCCCTGTGCCGCCCCCCATCCCCCGCCACCGTCCCTTATCCCTCCCTTCCCACCCATCCTTCCTGGTCCCTTTCCCTTTGGTAACTGTTAGTCCATTCTTGGGTTCTGTGAGTCTGCTGCTGTTTTGCTCCTTCAGTTTTTTCTTTGTTCTTATACTCCACAGATGAGTGAAATCATTTGGTACTTGTCTTTCTCCACCTGGCTTATTTCACTGAGCATAATACCCTCTAGCTCCATCCATGTTGTTGCAAATGGTAGGATTTGTTTTCTTCTTATGGCTGAATAATATTCCATTGTGTATATGTACCACATCTTCTTTATCCATTCATCTACTGATGGACACTTAGGTCGCTTCCATTTCTTGGCTATTGTAAATAGTGCTGCGATAAACATAGGGGTGCATCTGTCTTTCTCAAACTTGATTGCTGTGTTCTTAGGGTAAATTCCTAGGAGTGGAATTCCTGGGTCAAATGGTAAGTCTGTTTTGAGCATTTTGAGGAACCTCCATACTGCTTTCCACAATGGTTGAACTAATTTACATTCCCACCAGCAGTGTAGGAGGGTTCCCCTTTCTCCACAGCCTCGCCAACATTTGTTGTTGTTTGTCTTTTGGATGGTGGCCATCCTTACTGGTGTGAGGTGATATTTCATTGTGGTTTTAATTTGCATTTCTCTGATGACTAGTGATGTGGAGCATCTTTTCATGTGTCTGTTGGTCATCTGAATTTCTTCTTTGGAGAACTGTTCAGTTCCTCTGACCATTTTTTGATTGGATTATTTGCTTTTTGTTTGTTGAGGTGCATGAGCTTTTTATATATTTTTTATGTCAACCCTTTATCATATCTGTCATTTATGAATATATTCTCCCATACTGTAGGCTGCCTTTTTGTTCTATTGGTGGTGTCTTTTGCTGTATAGCACATAGTAGCAGTTTTGTTTAAGGTATATCTCATTCCCTCTCAGAACACTCAAGTGATAGCACAAACTTGCATTTGTAAGAGTTGGAGCTTCACAAATGAGTCTTGTGGGTAGAATGTGCTAGATTATAGTGTTACATTAAAAATTCTCTTGCTGCTGACATTAATTTTAGCAAACTCCAAACACTGTTCCTAATGAAGAGAGTAGAGTCCATCTACTCAGTGGCTGGCTTATTTTTGTTTAGAGCCAGAGCAGTTAGCTTCTGTCTCGGTTTCCTGGTTTCCAGCTTCCATGGTGATAGCATTGGAATGGAGAAAAGGGGGTCATCAAGACTGGCCGGAGAGGAAAGCCATCACTGGACACTGTCACTGGACACTGTCACTGGACCACGAAAGGACCATTGGAGGTTATTACAAACACTTGCCTCCTTTGGTCTCCCACTGAATCTCTAACCAGTGGTGGCAGGGCTGATTGTGAGTAGAAAGGAACAGTTGGGAGCAAGGTCTTTGGGGTGCGATGTGGCCTTGGGTGCCAGCTGCGAGGAGCTGAGGCCGAGAAGGAGAGGAGTGTGCCCTCACCAGCTGTCTTAGGGCCTAGTGCTAGGGTAACGCCTTGCATGGGGTTGAGCGCTCAGGAAATGACAGCTCTTGCTATTAGGTCATGCCTGTGGAGAAAGAAACTGGGGCTCTGTGTTTTATTTCTCTTACATGCTGTGATTCATACCATGTACATAAAGGAATGTAATGGTACCTTTTTGTCTTGCAGGTTTCTAAAGTCAGAGATCTTGAGATTAATAATGGCAGGAAAGTCATCACTTTTTAAAATAATTCTCCTTGGAGATGGTGGAGTTGGAAAGAGTTCTCTAATGAACAGATATGTGACTAATAAGTTTGATACCCAGCTTTTCCATACAATAGGTGTGGAATTTTTAAATAAAGATTTGGAGGTGGATGGACATTTTGTTACCATGCAGATTTGGGACACGGCTGGTCAAGAGCGATTCAGAAGCCTGAGGACACCATTTTACAGAGGGTCTGACTGCTGCTTGCTTACTTTTAGTGTTGATGATTCTCAAAGCTTCCAGAATTTGAGTAACTGGAAGAAAGAATTCATATATTACGCAGATGTGAAAGAGCCCGAAAGCTTTCCTTTTGTGATTTTAGGTAACAAAATTGACATAAGTGAACGGCAAGTGTCCACAGAAGAAGCCCAAGCCTGGTGCAGGGACAACGGTGACTATCCTTACTTTGAAACAAGTGCAAAAGATGCCACGAATGTTGCAGCAGCCTTTGAAGAAGCAGTTCGAAGAGTGCTTGCTACTGAGGATAGGTCAGATCACTTGATTCAGACAGACACAGTCAGTCTGCACCGAAAGCCCAAGCCTAGCTCATCTTGCTGTTGATGGTTAGAGAGGTTGCCCGCGTGTTCTGACCAGCTCACATATATATGCAGATAAACACAGGGTGGAGGAATTAGCATTTGCAGCAATGGATCACCTACTTATAAAATTAAACTAACCATATGGCTGCCTCATTAGTGGGTAGGAGAAGGGACACATCCACTCACAGACGAATCTATTTACCCATTAATGGCACCTTACATTTATATATTGTAACGGTTGTCTAATAATGTTTAATTATGTAAGTTACAGAGCTAATGAGATGATCAAAATTTAATTTTAATTAAAACAAAACACTTGAATATTCTAGAAGTTATTGTTTTTTTTCCTGGGAAAAATGGAGAACTACTTTTTATATGTGTATATTTTTATGTAACTGGCATCTAATTCCTGGTTCAAAGAAAAAATTCCCTAAAGCAATAACAGCTATTAAAGATTAAAATCTAATACATTTGTACTGCAGTAATTTCTTTGCTCTTTTAAAAATATCTAAGTGTGTTTTCATTCTACAAAGCAGAATCGATCACACTAATAACCACACGTGTGCCCCTGCCAACAGAGACCAATTTTATCACTCTTTTTTTTACTAAGGATTGTACTTTGAGGGTAAATGAAGACATCTTTGGTCATGTACTTATTGTCTTCTCTGTCACTGAACATTGTTTAGTGATTTGCCCTCAAGGTTTTTTGTCCCCATGCTGTGATGACCAGAAAGGATGAAGCAAATTGTGGGGTGGAAGGGGCATGGTGTTAGACATTTTGAAAAACCAGATTGATACATTTTTCTCCCTGACCCTACTCTTTGGGAACCAATGGAGAAGAGTATAGTTTTTGAAACTCTCAATTTGCCTATAAGCAAAACATTGTAACATTTTACATTCAGAGAAATTAAATCTCTTCATATTCTCTAGAGAGCTATAGTTTTTGTTATTTATACTCAATGCTCCCCTGCCCCCAAAGACTCTCCATCTGAAAAACAAAAGGAATTCAGTTGGTGGTGTATATTATAAATATAATACATTCCTTTTTGTTTTTTTTCTCTAGGGAACTTGCTTTTTTAAATCGAAAGTATACCCATTGTTTTGTGACTTGCCCTTCTCATGTATCTGGACGTATTTCCATCATAGCAGACCTGCCCCATTTGTTAGGCATATGGGTTAGCTAACAGTTTATTCCAGCTGTTCTTGCCGATAGACATCCAGCAGTACTATATCAAAGTGTCCGTTGCCCACACCTCGGTCAACAGTGGGTATTAGGAGTAAATCTTTTGTTCATTTTTTAAATAGATGGTAGTCACATGATTGAAAATCCTAAGGTGCAAGGGACAAATACCTCTACCCTTGCCACCCAGCTCCTGGCCCTGGAGGCAGCCATGTGTTAGTTTCTTGGGTTTCCATCTAGGTATTTACGGAAGGAAAGCATATTGTATTAATTCGCTAGGGGCACCAAACCAAAATGCAGACTGGGTAAACAATGGGAATTTTTCTCACATTTCTGGAGTCTGAAGTGTTTTAAGGTCAAGGTGTCGGTAGGTTTGGTTTCTCCAGAGGCCTCTCTTCATGCTGGCAGAAAACCTTTGCTCTTGTGTACCCCCACCTGTGTCCAATTTCCTCTTCTTGTAAGGACACCAGTTAGATGGGATTAGGGCTCACCCTAATAGGCTCATTTTTAGGCTAATCACCTCTTTATAAAGACTCTGTCTCTAAATACAGTCACATCCCGAGGGACTAAGAGGCAGGGCTTCAACATAGGGATTTCTGGGGGGATACAACTTAGCCCATAACACATGCGTATATAGCTATTTACAAAATGTGTAATTTTGGTGCTTGTACAGATTCAACTAATATCTTAGTTTTTTAATTATTTAAGCATCTTTTCAGTGACCTTTTTCTAGCTAAATATTCAGGGATTAGAGTTGGCTCTCAAGAAGTCTAGAGCTAGGAAGCAAAAAAATGGTCAAGGGAAGAGCTCTTCCTGTGTGTAGACATTTGGCTACTGGAAGGCTAATGGAAGGAAGAGCAATCCAGCCTCACGCGGTGATTCGCAGGGATTAATGAACGGGCTGAGAAAACGCCTTGCTGAAATGTGATAACCAAGAGGAGGGGGAACAAAACCTGAATGAAAAGCTTCAGCCTTTAAAGAAGCTACAACTAACGTATGGAAAAGCTCTTCAACCAGTAGCTAAAGGGGCCTGCTAATCTGATCCCTTCGAAGAGGTTGGCCAGTGTTACCTATACAAAGATGAGAAATACTGCAAAAAGGAGAGTTGGGGAAAAAAGCAGATGGTGACCATGGTAGCAGCAGTGGTGGCTGCAGCCTCAGAGCCCCAAGGAAGCGAGCAGAAGGGGGAACTGCAGCGTGCTCCCCAGTGTGGGGAGGAGGGCCCCCAGGGTCCATGGTTACTTACTGGCCATGTGTGGGGTCATTTTGTGATGTGTGCTTTCATGCTGTAGGTGTAAAGCATTTGACAGTTTGGTGTCAAGAAAAAGGCAAACTACCGAATGCAGAGGACGGACTAGTGTACATTTGACAATGGAGTAAGTACAGATGCGTGTGCAGTCCCATCAATGGAGCACTTAATGTTGTCCACCTTCTTCACCCTTGGGAAAAAGTCCCTACTTGAAGTTAAAACATCCTAGATGTTTCTTGTGTTAAAATCTTCCATTTGCATTTCTATAAAAACTTCTGTACACTTTCCCCTGAATATCATGACGCTGGTGCAAGTTCTCACAATCACGGTGGCTTGTGGGACAGTGTTAAACAGAAAAATGGACCTGTGTACAGTCAGTGGATCCTGCTAAGTTCCCACTGCGCACTGCGGACCTGTTAGTGTTGACGTGACTAAAATGTGAAAGGATATGGATGGAGGGAGAGATTGATGGTCTCTGTATGTGGAAAACAAGGGCACCAGTGAGGCATCCTAGCAAATGAAAGGACAAATCCAGCTCTGTGCATCGACGTGGATCACCTTGGGAGTGCTAACATAGATGCGAATTTGGTGCTGACACTAATGTGCTCAGTGGAGCCTGATGCCTAAAAGTGCTTATGTCCTCCCATTGCTTATGCTCCAGAACCTTCAGTAGCATCACCTACTACCACACCTTAACGCTTTAGCTTTCCTAATTATCAGCACCCACTTCCTCCCGAGTTTTGGCCCATCCGATCAGCTGTCCGAGCCAGGGGCCTAGTGCTGCTGTTCTCCATCTCGTGCCTGCGTGCTTGCCCAGTACAGCCCCAACTCTGAGGTCTCACGCACCCAACTCCTATGCTCATCGCTGGACTTGCCTTCGAGCTCCTTCAAAGATGCAGTCATCTGGAATCGGGTGCCTGACTACAGCAATCTACTTCCAGAGACAGGGCTTGTTCCTGTCTTACCGTCACAAGTCCCGAGGAGCAGACTGCTGCTTGCAGGGCGCTGCTGTCAGGCAGCATCTCCATCCCACACCTTCCTGCTGGAACAGTACTAAGGGCAGAGCCAACGATAGACAATGTCGCTGGGTCTCTCCAATGAGCCTGGCTGAAGTTATTCCTGGATTTCTAGCTGAGTATCTTTTTCTGTTCCCAAAGGTCTGGTACCTAGTTTGAGGTGATTGGATTTCTGTAAAATGAATTAAGTTAGTTTGCAGACTTTCAACAGGGGAAGTAGGACTAAAAAGGTAGTGGTGGCAGAGTGGGCAGTACTTAAAAGATATGATATTAAACTTACAGTCTTGGGCAACCATCTTTATTTAAGAAATCAAATAAATGGATGGGTAAAAAATGATGGTAGCAACTTCATACAAGGATGCAAGACCAAACTTAGAATTACTTGCTCAAGTTATTCAGAATGGAACAAAATTCTTCAAGTACTCACAATCAGCACAGAAAATAACTGGTTGCATTACTTGCTTCTCAATGGACATTGACTAGTTTACAGTAAGATCCTACACTTGTTGCAGTACAAAGGAGACCATGTAGCCCCCTCCGGTGTGCGACCTAAGAAGCTAACAGGACAAGTGTTAATGTAATGCAAACTTTTCTGTTTACAATTCTAAAATTGCCTTACAACCTGTTGCTAGTACAGGTATCAACAGTTCACTTTGTCTTTAGTTTATTCTCTGAGGGAAAGGAAATAGAAGAACATTACTTGTCACCTTGGTCCCAGCCTCCCATGTTATACACAAGGGTCCAGGACACTAGAATTTCAGCAGGATCACCGGTCCCCACCTGACAGGAGCAGGCATGTGCTATTGGACACTGCGAAAGCCGTCTGCTTCAACTTCATGGGCAGTGCTGTCTATACTGTCTATACGTTTCTGTAACCACCTCCCTAGGGGTATAGATAAGCCCATGGACGTCCTATCAATGTCATCCCTACTGCTGAGGCTTACTTTGAAATCTATCTACTAAATCTTGACAATGCCATTTGGTTCTATATAGTTAACAGCAACATCAAGTTATCTGAATCAGAAAAGTCAAAAGCTCATTCTGAAATTCTTAAAAATATTTTAAGATTATTGATAAAGAACTCTATGAATAACACTGTTCACAAGCAAATATTGATCTGTTGATAACTAAGAAACTGAATGTACTATTTTTAATATAAAAGGAATTCTACTGGGTTAGATTAAATTTAGAGTACAAGTAAAACATTTCCAGGTTATTTAATGAACTTTCTTACAATGTACACATTCCTGAGTATATCCCATTGTAATGACATTGTTTACTTCTGAATTTTCTGCATTCAGCTTAAGAGGTGTTTCTTCCCAAGAAACTGAACTTTTCTGTCAAATGCGCTTGACCGAATAGGAGAATTGGGTTCATAAAATGGATTCATTGCAAACTAGGAAAGAAGAAGGTATTAGTGAGCTTGTCAAAGTAAAAACACGGATAAATCACAGGTCTCTAAAAGTAAATTGTTCTGAAGTTTTAAATTAAAAGAAGTCAAAGATATCCAAAAGTCTGAAGACCACTTTTTTAAGTTTCAATGAAAATGTTTCACTGTTCAATAGTGATGTCCCCTTAAGAAAATTTTTGTCTTGGTGGAAATACTAATCTACTCATACTCATTATAAATGTACAGATCAGTCTGTAAGGTTCTTTGGTTATCTGCAACAAACTACAGGTCTGCCAGATGCCCTGAGTTAAGGTAAAGTTATACTACATGCTATTAAAAGTTACTCTGGTGTGGTTGACTTTAACAAGCAGGTTTTTAATACTCTCCTTTAAAGGTTATCAGTTTCTCAGATAGTATAATGATTGTATCATATATATGAGAGAAAATTAGTATTAAATGGAGTCACTAACAAGGAGGTAACAATTTTTACACTTTAATCATTTGGTGTTGTCTGTCTTTACAAAAGGGCTAAATATTCTTATTTGCTACTTCTGATGACGAATATTGACTGCTTACTGTGCTGATATGCAAAAAATCTTGTCCAAATACAGAACATTTCTATTATTAAGAACATACTGTTGTTAGT